CCAAAGCGTGCCGGCCGCGGGGCCCCGTCGTTGAGCCATGCGCAACGCCTCACCCGGCGGCGCCATTCCTCCGAGCTGCTCCCACCAGGGCCTGCGCGGCAGATCGACTTCCGCTCGGGAAAGTGGTTCCCAGACCGCGCCGCAGGGGACGCCCGGGACTCGCGGCAGGCTCCGTGGGACCGGATGGGCTCTAGACACAGGTCGGTCTCCGCGGGCCCCCGGGCCTGCGCCACCCCCGGCAGCCGCGGCCCGAATTCCAAGTCTGGAGCGCGATGGGCCCCGAGGCCCCCGTAAGCGGGTCCACGCCCCCCCTGCGCCCCGGCCCGCGTGGAACCGGCCGCCGCGCAACGGTCCTATTCCGGGCGTGCCGGCACGTGATTGGACAGCATCTCCGGGAAGCCCCGAAACGGGGCCTCGGCTGATTGGCCGGTGCCGCTGGTTGGTCCATCGAGCTGTCACTCAGGTGTCGCTTTACCGCCCGGCGGATTTTAAAGAAAGGGCTCTGTAGGAAGACAGGCGAACAGTTGAAGGACATTTCTCCCCCTTCCGCCCCGCCATTTAAAACAAGAAAAAGGCAATTTCCTTACGTTATCAGTTTCAGTTGTTCAGTACGACATCCGGGCGGCGTTTTAGCTAGCGTTTCTGTGAACTCCTCACAATAATTGACAATCATTGGTCCCCTTTCACAAAGTAACAGGCTCCAAAATGGAAATGCACTCAATCGTGAGAGGTAAAAAAGAGAGACGTGGAACGAAGGTGGAATTAAGACAAGGAACGTGAAGTTAAGAGCGACTGTACTGGGCAGGGAACGAGCTCCCCCAAGGGGAGGGAGAGCAGAGAAAGGGGCAGGAGCATCCTGAGCTCCCGGGCGGGCTTCACGACCCAACGAGTTGGGTGAGGGAAATCGCGCCAGTCGGTGGGGTGGTGAGATAGCTATAGGATTGGGGTCAGGGACGTATGCAAATGAGGTGAAGAAAGCTGATGGTGCCTGCGCCGCCAATCAGGAGAAGGGAGGCTCGCGTCCTGATGCTGCAACGCAGTCCTGAGTCTTTCACAGAGCAGCATCTTGGAATGTGGGGCAAGAGGCTACACAGTCCAGATCTGGCCTTGGGAGGCTGGGCGAAGGGGCCGCACAGTCCAGTCCGGACGGCTATCTTCCTGGAGAGCTGGGGGAAGGTACTGCACATACGAGACGCGGCCCAAACAAACCGTAGTAATACCAACCCCCAAGTATTGAACCGATACAATATCGCTACATGTAAGCTCTACATATATTATCTCACCCCTTAGCACCTTCCTGTGAGTTATGTGCCGTTAAGTCGGTTCAGCGCATGGTGACACCCTAGGAAGTATACACAGTTATTAAAGAAAGATGATCTAGGTAGTGTGGCTTCGCAATCTGTGTGCCTTTAACGATTATGAACATATACAAGATAAATTATACCCAGTATAGTAATAACTCTTGTTACCATAATTGTATCCCCAAGACTGAAGCGATCATTATATCTAGAACTGACAGCTCACCACTACTTGTCTGTCAGTTTGTCTGCTGTGGTGGCTTGTGTGTTACTGTGATGCTGGAAGCTATGTCACTGGTATTTCAAATACCAGAAGATTGTCAGAGACAGTGCCAGAAGATGAGCCCCTCAGGTGGGAAGGCACTCAAATTAGGACTGAGGAAGAGCTGCCTTCTTGCAGTAGAGTTGACCCTAATGACGTGGATGGAGGGAAGCCTGCAGGAGGAAAGCCTTCAGGACCCTCATTGGCTGATGGGGCATGACTCACCATGAGAGGAAGCAGCAGCAAATGTCAATTAATAATTGAAACTCGGACTGTATGAAGTTTGCGTCTAGGAAAATTGAAAGTTGTCAAAAATGAAATAGGAAACCATTAACATCAGTCTTCTAGTTGCTAGTGACCTGAAATAGACTGGCATTGGCCACTTTGAATCCGAAAATCCTGTGGTTACTATGCCTGGAATGACGTATTCTAGAGGAATGGTAGGTTTTGCATCATAGAAAAGGACATTTCAAGATCTAGCCACATACCAAGAATGTATCCACATACAAAGAACTATCAGCGTCTTCGATATGAAATTGATCAAGCATACACTCTTGATGCATTTGATAATTATTGGTGATTAGAATACAACAGTTGGAAACAAAGAGAAATGATCATTAGTTGGAAAATAGAGTCGGTGATAGAAATTAAGCTGGCGATTGCATGATGTAATTTTGCAAGACAAATGACTTCTTCATAGCAAGTATCTTTTTTCAACAACACAAATGTGACTGTACACATGGACTTCTCCAGATGAAAGACACAGAAATCAAATGGACTACTACCTCTGTGGGAAGAGACATTGGAGAAGTTCAGTACCACCAGTTAAACCCAGGCCAGGGGCCAACTGTGGAACCGAGCTGCAAATGCTCATCTGTGTGTTCAGACTGAAGCTGAAGAAAAGGAAAGTAAGCCCAGGAGAGCTCAACTACCACCTGGAGTATAGCTCACCTTAGTTTGCAGAACATCTCACGAACAGGTTTGACGCCTTAAGCACTAACATCAGAAGAACGAACGAGCTGTAGGATGACATCAAGAACATCGTACGTAAAGCAAACAAAAGGCCATTATAAAAACAGGGAATAAAGAAAATATCACCAAAAAATGTGGAGCTGATACCAAGGGCTCAAGTAGAAAGCAGGTGTTTTGAGAATGATGATGGCAACATATGTACGAACGTGCTGGACACAATTGATGTATGTATGGATTGTGATAAGAGTTGTATGAGCCCCTAATAAAATGATTTGAAAAGATCACAATGGATGTCAGAGAAGACTCAAAATTGTAGAGTAGCTAACGCACACAGAAGAAATGATGAAGTCAAAGAGTTGAATAGAAAATTTCAAAGGGCACCTCAAGAATTGTATGTACTCATAATAAACTTAGAAATGAAAAAGGAAGAACACGCTCAGCATATCTTAAACTGAAAGGACTCAAGAAAAAAGTCAAGCTTCGATGCAGGAAGCATCAAAAGAAAATGGAGTGAGTGCACAGAGTCACTGTACCATAAAGAAAGTGGACATGCAACCATTTGAAGAGGTAGCACGTGATCAAGAACTAATAGTACTGAAGGAAGAAGTTCTAGCAGCATGGAAAGCATTAGCCAAAAACAAGACTCCAGGAATTGATGGAATACCAACTGAAATGTTTCAACAGGCTGATGAAGCCCTGGAAGCGCTCAATCGTCTGTGTCAGGAAATGTGGAAGATGACTACCTAGCCAGCTGACTGGAAGAGATCCCTATTTGTATCCATTCTAAAATAATCCATTCCAAAGAAATTCCAACAGAATGCTCCAATTGCCGAACAATAACATTGATATCCATTGTAAGTAAAATTTTGCTGAAGATCAATACTTTGATTTTTATAGCAGTTATAGCAGTACATTGACAGGGAACTGCTAACGGTTCAGGCCAGATGCAAAAGAGGATGTGGAACAAGGGAAATCATTTCTAGCGGATCTTGGCTGAAAGCAGAAAACACCAGAAAGATGTTTACTTGTGTTGTATTGACTGTGCGAAGGTATTCAACTGTATGGATCATGACAAATTATGGATAGCCTTCAGGAAAATGTAAATTCCGGAACACCTCATTGTGCTTGATGCAGAACTTGTACGTGGCAGTCGTGCAAACAGAACAAAGGACTACTGCACAGTTTAAAGATCAGGAAAAGTGTGTGTCAGGGTTGTATCCTCTCACCATACTTATTCAGTCTGTATGCTGAGCAAATCATCAGAGAACCTGAATTATACGAGGAAGAATGAGGCACCAGGTTTGGAGGAAGACTTATTAACAACCTGCCATACGCAGATGACACAACCTTGCTTGCTGAAAGCGAGGGGCACTTGAAGCACTTGCTGATGAAGATGAAGGACTGGAACCTTCGGTGTGGATTACAGGTCAATTGAGAGACAACCAACCTCCTCACAACTGGACCAATGGGTAACATCATGATAAATGTAGAAAAGGCTGAAGTTGTCAAGAATTTCATCTGGGTTAGATGCACAATCAGTGCTCATGGAAGCAGCAGTCAAGAGATCAAGCGAGGCCTTGCACTGAGTAAATCTGCTGCCAAGACCTCTCGAACGTGTTGAAAAGCAAGGACGTTACTTTGAGGACTAAGGTGGACCTGATCTAACCCGTGGTATTTTTAGCGACCTGATAGGCATGTGAAAGTTGGACATTGAGTAAGGAAGACAGAAAGAAGAGTTGATGCATTTGAGTTAGGGTACTGGTGAAGAATATTGAACGTACTATGGACTGGCAAATGAACAAAAAAATCTGTTTTGGAAGAAATACAGCCAGAATGCCCCTAAAGCAATAATGGCAAGACTTTGTCGTGTAATGGCAAGAGAGACCAATCTCTGGAGAAGGAAATCTTGTGGTAAAATAGGGGGTCAGTGAAAAAGAAGATCCAGAAGGAGAGGGATTGACACAGAGACTGCAACCATTGGCTGAAAAATAAGAACAGTTTGGGAGGATGGTCCAGGACCAGGCGGTGTTTTGTTCTGTGGTACATTGGGTCGCTGTGCGTCCCTACCATCTTGATGGTCCCTCACAAGACCTGCTGTATTCAATATGGCAGCCACTAGCCATATTTGGAAGTTTAAATTTAAATTTTACGTAACATTAAATTTGAAATTCTGATCCTTGGTACTAGCCGTATTTCAAGTGCTCAATAGCCACATGTGACAGCGCATATCACAGCACAGAATTATAAAGCCTTTCCACTATCACAGAAAGTTCTATTGAATAGTCCTGATGTAGAATTGATAAAGAACTCTCCCAACTCAGCAATAAAACCCAGACCCCTTCTCTGTGTGCTAGAGCTGCCTTATACTGTCTCACATGACCCAATTGCCAAATTGTAGGGAAGAATTCCCTAAATCAGTTAAATGAGGCTACTCTAACAAAATAAGAACACATTTTTTCACTGTTCTGGTGGCTAGAGATCGGCATTCGGGGCTTCTGCCAAGCTGATTTCTTTTTTTTCTTTCTTTTTTTCTTTTTTAACATTTTATTAGGGGCTCATACAACTGTTATCCCAATCCATACACACATCAATTGTGTAAAGCGCATTTGTACATC